GTTCTCGTCTTGTCCTCTGGGGAATTAGAGGATAATGCCATTCAGATATTTGCTATCATATCTCCTGTCAATCACCTTTTCTGTAAGTTAAGTATACCCAGAATCTTTAACCGTTTCTTGCAAGATGTGGTTTCCAAACTCTTCTTTATCTTGATTTTCTTTCACTGAACTAGCTTCCATTTGTCACTGTCTGTTTTGAAAGTTTGCCCATACCACCTATGTTTAATATAAAGACATTCTCATTTGTCTTACAGTTAATGCTGAAAGTATTATGATTCCTACCTGATAAATGGGAGGGGAAGCTTTTTTCTATTGTTTAGTTGTCAAATGGAAATCATAATAGTTTCAGCATTAAGTGTAAGATGAATGAGAGTGTTTTTATATTAAACAGGGGTGCTTAGCTGAGAGTTCTGTTACGGAATTTGTCAAGGAAATGCTGATCAATAATTTTGAATCTGGATGCCTGATACAATTGTTAGCTTTCCTGGGAGGTTGATATGTTGAGTTTCTTACCCTTTCTCCTCTCTATACACATTCCTCAAATTTCTCTAAATGTCTTGGAAGATTTTCCTCCCCATCACTAAAGCTATAATTGTCACAGCTAGTGTCACCAGAATTGCTGTTGCTAAGCTAGGTGGTTGTCGTGTGAGTCATCCCTGGTTTTACAACCATTTTTGTTACAGTTGTAGTTGTTAATCAGTTCCCATGGTCCTTAAACACATCCGGATTCCTCCATTGACTTTACTTCTTGGAAGAAAAGCTTCCGATGGGAAGGTTGCAAATGGTGATCATTTTATCCGGGATTCTGCCACCATCATCAACACACGCTGGTTGTCAAGCGCTCAAATATTTATTATTTGGCTGTGGGGATGCTGTGACTGTAGTAAATGCGAGGACTGGTTACAAGTCTCTTTTTTCACTGCTGTTGTGACTTCGAATGGCCACTAAACATAAATAGTTGCAAGTTGATGACTGCCAGTGTTTTCTTCCTGATTGTCAACTAACAATTGGTGTTCCAGGATGAAAATCTTGGATGGCAAGAGAGAAGAAAACGTATTCTGTTTTAGATAAAGAAAATAAGATTATATGTAAATACAAGGGGGGGGGGAATTGTTCCACTGATGGCGATAAATTAGTCTGTGAGTTGTGCTGAAATTTCTTGTTTCCCAGGACTTACAAATGCTTCAGAAACATCTGCTGCATTGTGCAAGGACTGACTTTCCCAATAAATTACATTTATGAAAAGCAAATCCCTTTGAGCTGCTCCTGAGATGGATTAAATGTCAGATGCATACTGTTATTCATGTAGGTGAAAAACTTGGTATGATTGAGGAGCCCTGATCTGATCTCTACCTAATACCTTGTTCTGTTCATTCCCAAATTGCTATAAACTATCATTGGCTATAAAGTGGAGCAGAGTGTTCCATTTCTGAATAGTTCCTTGTTGTAGAGTAGAAAAATCCACTTTAAGGAAATAGCTTTTATGAGCAATTAAGTGGTCCTCTTTTAACAGTGAAGATGCAACCAATTTATAAAGGATTTCTTTTTTTTTATTGAAAATTTTTAAATTTTACAAAACAATACGATTTATAAAGGATTTCTGACATTCATTCGTTTCCCCTTTTCTCTCTATTGCTTTTAAAATATACTTGAAGACATTTGAAGCATTCCGCAGAAAATTAGTTTTCACAAAAGTGGGAATTAGTCTAAAAACTACTGTTGCCTTTTATATGTTTTGTAAAGCAGGAATACAGTAATTCAATATTATTTAATTCCTTCCTACTTAGTGTGGCAAGAGAAATGTAAATTGCCAGAGCAGGTTGAAAGAGCATTGTGTCGAAGCGGCTGCTTATGGCAAAAAGAGGGCTGTGTTATCCTTTCAGGAATAGACTATGCTTGTAACTAGGTAGCTCTCTTGTTCTGCCATGAACCATATTTCACCAGCCAGTTAAGCATGATGTCAACGCTGCTAATATTGTATATTCTTGCTTTGACAAAATATGCAGAACTGTCTGGTATTTTTAGAGTTAATTCAGATGATGGTGGCCGGGGAGAAGAAAGATAGGACTGCACAGGAAGAGAACGGAAGAGAACCTTTGCCCTTCCACCTGATAGGAGAATGTGATATATGACAGCAAATTTAGGGAGGGAACATGCTGATAAATTAATTGCTCAGGGAAAGAGAATTTAGTTCTTAGCATCCCTTCAGTGTGCCGACATAAATAAAAGACTTTTTAGGAAAACAATGCCTGGAAGTTTTTTGAAGTGTTTCATTAGTCGGAACCTGACATATATCATCTGATGGGACTTACTCGCTTCCTTCCTGACATACCATACTTATTTATATCTCACATTTATTATTTTTATAAATAGCACAAGGCAGCAAACACACAATATTCCTTTGTCCTGTTTTCCCCCATTACAATAATCCTGTCAGGTGCGTTGGGCTGAGAGAGAAGGACTGCACTAAAGTCACCCAGCCTGCTTTCATCCCTAAGATGGGACTAGAACTCACGTCTCCTTAGATGGCTATCGTGGCTAAATCTGAACTAGAACTCACTGTCTCCTGGTAATTGGCCCAAAGTCCCCTGGATGACTTTCATGTCTAAAGAGGGACTAGAATTCATTGTCTGCTAGCTTCTAGTCTGGTGCCTTAACCACTAGGCCACACTGGTTCTTTATAATAATAATAATGATAAAGTTGGAAGGGACCTTGGAGGTCATCTAGTCCAATCCCCTACTCAGGCAGGAAACCGTATACCATTTCAGACAAATGGCTGTCCAGTCTCTTCTTAAAAACTTCCAGTGTTGGCGCATTCACCACTTCTGGAGGCAGATTGTTCCACTGGTTAATTGTTCTCACTGTCAGGAAGTTTCTCCTTAGTTCAAGGTTGCTTCTCTCTTTGGATAGTTTCCACCCGTTGCTTCTTGTCCTGCCTTCAGGCACATTGGAAAATAGCTTGACTCCCTCTTCTTTGTGGCAGCCCCTGAGATATTGAAATACTGTTATCATGTCCCCTCTCATCCTTCTCTTCGTTAAACTAGACATCCCCAATTCCAGCAGCCGTTCCTTATATGTTTTAGCCTCCAATCCCCTAATCATCTTTGTTACTCTTCTCTGTACTCTTTCTAGAGTCTCAACATCTTTTTTTTACATCGTGGTGACCAAAACTGGATGCAGTATCTCTGTCACACCAGCTGCTTTCTGAAACACCCATTCTCCCAATATATCTGGGCCCCACCCAGGTTGTGTTCAAAAGACATTGAAACTATAGTTCTTTCCCTTAATAGATGGTCCCCTCTGTTTGATTCTTTTCATAGTGGTTGTTCTTCTAGCATTTGCCTGGTCCTCCTCCTCCATCATCATTGTAGAATTTTTTTATTGTACCCACCAAGGAAATTTTCTAACACCAAGAAATGGTGTATTTTGGCACAGTGGTTAGAATGCAGTATTGCAGGCTAATTCAGCTCATTGCCAGGAGTTCGATCCTCACTGGCTCAAGGTTGACTCAGTCTTCCATTCTTCCCAGGTCATTAAAGTGAGTACCCAGATTGTTGGGGGCAAGATGCTGACTCTGTAAACAGCTTATGGAAGGCTGCAAAGCATTATATAAGTCTAAGTGCTATTGCTATTTTGCCTCAAGCTGGTTTCAGTATTTACATCATTGCCTACTCATGGACATACATATATGTATCATTCATTTCCACCTGAGGTCTATCATAGAAATATGTATATGGATTCACTACAGTTCTCTTAGATTGTTTTTATTTAAACATTTCACTGAATAGGAAACTTTAATACTTTATATAGCGAAGTCCTCACTAAGTGGTGTTTGGTGTAGTTAGCTTAATAATAAATGCATGTAGACAAATTACATTCATGTAAAGTTATGTGGCCTTAATCTGGGATGACATTTGATTTGATTAGTCAATCCACTAATGGGTATAAGAAAATCACCGTCTATCTTTTGTTATTTGAAGTTGGCTCTGTAATCTTGTATGGTTAAAAGAAGTAACATGGTCTTCTATGACCGTTTCAGTATCTGCGCGTTCTGTGTTTTAAAGTTGCCAAAACTTCATTTTGAAGTTCTCAGAATAAAATAAATTGAAATTAAAAATGCCAGTGATTAATGGGGAAATACAGTTTAAAATGCCAGTGATTAATAAAATGAAAAACTTCAACCAGCTTTCCCGAATGCCGCAGACTTTTAAAACACCTTTACAGCCTCAATACTCCCTGCTTTAGGAAGAAAATATCTGCCTATTTATTTCTGAACAGTTGGGTTTGCTTTTTATGCACCTACTCACAATTTCTCTATCGAAGTAAACAAATTCTAGTAAAACTATGTCTGAGTGAATAATGACTAACAAGATAGGCGAGGAGAGAAATTAGAAGTATAAAGTGTGATTTTAATATCTCAGGTTAATAGAAACAAAACTCTTGCTTGCAATTGCTTTCTTGGATAGTTAAATAAAACTGACAAGTAGAAGCAGATGCTTGTTTATGTGTATTTATACCTTCATTAAAATGAAGAAGCTCTCTGTTTGCACTGAAAAATAGTGGAATAAGCCTTCTTGTTATTAACTGTAAGGTTAAGCTGGTGTTGATAGTGCCACATTCACTGAACTTCTTAATATGTATTAATTCTGTGCAAGATTTCCCAGCATCATGGTTAGGGAATCTACAGATATGAAGAGGATAACAGCAGCTACAAATTAGCCTCTGTTTATTTGTCTGTGGTCTATGTTATATCAGTAAGATTAAAGACTCTAGGTCTTAAAAAACAGAAGTGAGGGTGGGTGATATCAGTTTAGAGGCAAACTGATCAATAGCTCTGCATGAAATTAACAGCTTGCATTGCCCTGTCAAACATGCCCTTAATCCAGTGCTTTTTATCATGCAAATGTAACCTTACCTTTGCTTCCCATATTCATTGTTTCCCCCAGTGTTACAGCCTTAATTTCAAAGCAATTAATTTGACTTTTTCTGCTATTCACAGAAGGGGATGAGACAGGAGTGATGGATAATCTGTTGGAAGCACTGCAGTCTGGGGAAGCGTTCAGGGATCGCAGAAAACGGATGCCAAGGCCTCAAGGTAGGATAAACAATTGAATTTGGGGCAGAGACATGAAAATATAGCTATTATTTGAAAGCATAGTAGTGGGACATGGTTCTTGTGGGGAAGCCCTTTATGAGTTTCAATGGAAGTATCTTTTGGTTTAGAAGTGAATTGCCAGCGGGACATCAGTGTGCAATCAGCGGATGTAATGGGATAATTATAATAACTGCTGCAGGAAAAACAACAAAAGTTCAAGGAGCTCCTGTTTTGATTGATACCACTGTAAATGAACGTAAATAATGCTCCAGAGTTTGTGGCAAATCATTAAAAATGTTCAAAATAATTAAATGGAGTCAACTGCCATCCTCAGCCTATAAGAACGATCAATCTTCATTTTTCACGGGTAAATTTGTACCTTGTCCTTCAGACTATTAATTTTGTTAAACGCATGCTAATGAACATTCCTGAGTTGTTTAAAAAAAGTGCTAAATGACAGCAATAGCAGGTTTCTCTTCTCTGGCCCCTCATGTACTATTATTCTGAGCTTGATTTGTGGACCGCCATAGCTTGCTATCTCATTGGAGTCTGCAAATGTGATTTAAATAAATCGTAATTTACTTGAAAGCCACTGTTTCTTTTTTAACAGACTGATCCGAAGCTTCTAAATTTGGGCAGTGTGTAAAGGAAGGAGCAGATAAAAATTTGCATCTTGGGAAGGGGGTGACATGTGCATGGTGACATCATGTTATTCCCTTACATACTTGCAATCCAACATCTGATGTAAATATGTACATAGTGGGGGTTGCACTGTAGCATACGCATCTATGTTTTATATGGAACAGAGATCAAAATGGTAAATACTGGAAAATTGTAAAGTAAAGCCTTGCTCTCGGTCTCAGAGGATCTGATCTGAACGTGAATTATTATGTGAGTGGAGAATATGTTTACATCTTGTTTGCATTCATTTTCCTATTTTTAACAGCAATCTTTAAGGAGAAATCAATAGACAAGTTCCTGAAAGGATATTGTAGAGTTATGTATCTTAATTATTTCAGAAGCTCATCATGATTAATTCGTGATGAAATTAGCAAAGAAAAAAAATCAATTAACAAAGACTGAATAGTCCAACATATAACAGAAAATTTAAGACAAGAGGTTGTGTTTTCTCTAACTTGTTTACTGACTTAATGTCATTTGATAGTTTCAAAGAAGGTTTCTTCAAATTCCCCAATTCCCCAATAAAGTAAATTAGCTCGGGGGTGGTAATACTGATCCCATCCTAATGTATTAAAATGTCATTTAGTAGTTTGTGCATTTTGAAGATTACATGACGAAACCCAAAAGCTTAAACTAGATTGATGACCAAACCCAAAAGCTTAAGATAGGTAGATAGTGCCCATATGCAAACAGGAATGCCATTAAAAATGTTACATATCATGTGTCAACGCTGCAACGAACAATATGTTCTTTAAGGAAACCTTTTGCCTTGGAGTTCTGTTTTTACTGGTCTCGTCTATCGGAACCATGACGTCATGTCTTTCATGTCCAAATTTCTTTATTGCATATCAACATAGGGTATATAAATATACCACCTATCTGAAGCTGTGTCTTTTTTTGGAATCACTTGGCTGCCTCCCACAGCATCCTTTGAAATCAAATTCAAAGTTCAGCACATTTCAATTCCCAATGAAAAGTTTGATGGATATGTGGAATTCAGAAGAACAATCTCTATCGTTTGTCTTTCCCCTAAAGTTTATAATATTTTGTTTATCTTTTCCCTAAAGTTCATAATATTTTTTTTTCATAAGAGGTAATGCTGTCTTCTGAATTTTTGGATATCTTCCTAAGTAGGTAAAAGACGGGAGCTACATAAAGCTGAAAGAATTGCAAGTTTTTGTATATACATCTAGCTTTCTATTATATGTCTGTGTTTGTGTATGTGTGTAGAGAGAGACATTTATTTGAATTTGACCGTATGGCACATTTTTAACGAAATGCCTGCTTCAGCAGCAGTCAGATATTTATTTAATGTTTTATTGATGGGAATGGATTTTAATTCTTACAAACGTGATGTTTGCATGGTATATTTGCACCACATGCACTTGAGATGAATCACATGTTCCACACATTTTTCATCTGTGACTGTTTTCCCTCCAACATACAGTACATGGCTGATGTTTTGGGCACAGGAAGAGTTTAATGTAAATTCTGCATTTTCTATAGACGTTTTAAAGGCAGTGATTTAGTGATTCAGTACATTAAAAATGTCAGTGTTTCCTAAAATGTCTGTTCCTTTAACAATGCTGCATGTCCTGCTTCAGCTAAAACTATGAAAGGGACAAATTTTGAGAGGCATTCATCATACTTTCACCAATTATCCGCGACCTTTTATCCTAGCCACAAGCTAAGATATGATAAAACAAGACCAATTCTGAAATATATTCCCTCTAATATTAGCTTAAGTTATTTCTTTTTCCTTTGTAGCTAACTGTTCTTATTTTTATTTTTTTTTTACTTTTCACTATGCTGCTAAATCTTTTACTATAAAATTAAACTTCTGGAAACATTAATAGCTGCTGCCCTTTTAGGAATGTCCCAGTTCAGAGATATTGCATCTGCAGGCTTATTCCATGCTATAATTCCCTTCTTGCTGCAGAGTAGTTATCACCGTGAAATGGTTTAGTTACTAACTCTTGAGGCTGTAAGATAGGTGTTACGTACTGTAGGCTAAACCAAGATGCCTCTGACTGGTAATGGCCCTTGATTACATGCAGATGCTGTGACATGTATTCTACAGCTTCAAAATACAAAGCCTTAGCAAGGCAGTCACAATTTCCCCCGAAGTGGTACTTCCCACCATGTTAGTAACATATTGTTTTGTTTTTTTTTGTTTTTATGGAGATGCTTCACATCAGTCCTAATTACTTTTCCAGCAAAATCTGCCAAACTCATGGCACACTAATAAACTCATACATAGAACCATAGAATTTGAAAGTACATTGAAAGTCATCTAGTCCATTCTCAATCTTGGCAACTTTTAGAAGTGTGGACTTGCAAGAATTCCACAGCCAGCATACTGGCCGGGGAATAATAGGAGTTGAAGCCCACACTTCTTTTTTTATTATTATTAAAAATTTTAAAAATTTTATACAATATATATCCCAAATCCCTCCCACCCCTCCCACCCTTCCTCCACTTCCCAGAGCTGATTACAGGGTTACAAATAAACAATCATAATCTAACTAACATTACCTAACTATACAAACAGTCAAATCCATAACATGCTTTAACTCCTTTTCAAAGTAAATATTAACAAATTAAATACAAAAATAATAATATAGTTAAACCATAAAGAGGCGAGGTGGCGCAGCAGTTAGAGACTGTGTTCAGCAGGTCAGCGGTCAGCGGTTCAAATCTCACCGGCTCAAGGTTGACTCAGCCTTCCATCCTTCCGGGGTAGGTAAAATGAGGACCCAGATTGTTGGGGGCAATGTAAATATATATATACATTGCTTACTGGTGTACATTGCTTAGAGAGTGCTTGCACTTAAAGCGGTATATAAGTCTCATAAATAAATAAATAAAACTAAGAGTAATATAAATTCTACCATATTAAACTATTAGTAATAATCTGATATTTACTCATAAGCTAGATAATACTTTTTAGTCTCATATTTATTCTGAATATAATCTATCCATCTTCTCCAAACCGAAATATATCTTTCTTGTGAGTAGTCCTTCAAATAAGCGGAGTTTTTTGCCATTTCTGCTAAATTAGACACCTTGAGTATCCATTCTTCCATAGTAGGCCAAGAATCTTTCTTCCAATATTGCCCCACCAATAATCTTGCAGCTGTTATAAGATTCAACATCAAATTAATCTCTTTAACATCAAAATCTACAATAACACCTAACAAAAATAATTGTGGCGTAAACTTTAGAAGCCCACACTTCTTAAAGTTGCCCAGGTGGTTGAGAAACATTGATCTAGTCTATCTCCCTGCTCAGCCAGTAGACCAAGGTGCTGCATAAAATGGTGAGTTTTCCATCAACAGAAGTCTTCAAACAGAGAATGGAGTCTCTAATATCTAGTATGAAAATATAGATGTGGCTGGCAAGTTGTATAGCCAAGAAGCTCCCCGGATATGAAATCTAACCCCCCCCCCTTCCTTGTAGTTGTACCCCATTGATTCCAGCCCTACCCTTTGGGGCAGTAAAGAATAAAGTTCTTCTTTGTGACAGCTATTCTGAAGAGCTGAGGAGAAGCATCCATCTCTGAAGCTTTGCACTTTCCAAATAAATACGAGCCGGAACAATTTAAGATGATTGTGTTTTATTTAAGGATAATGGAAGTATATGCACACTCAGAATAATGTTTAAGTGAATCAATTCCCTACAATAAACACTTAAAACAAACCAAATAAGCTAGGAAATCAATTACCAGATTTTATTTTCAGGTAGTATCCTGTTGGATCCTGATCACCATTTGGATTAGACAGAAAGCAGAGAATGATTTGCATGTGGTCAAAACAACTGTAGCGTCAAATCTATATTTCTAGGTGATTTTGCTCTCAGCCTCACACATGCAAGGGCACACATATAGAGACAACAGAATTTCTGTAGGAAACTTCAAAAGAAGGTTCTTGACAACACTAATGAGATTAAAGTAGAGTTCCATTAATCTGATTGCTTCCTTTGTTATTTTTCTTAACACATTTCTGTGGCTCCTGCTGAGCGAAGCTTTAAAGTAGGAAAACCTTTGAGTTCAATAAGTGTAAATGACGTTGGAGAGGAGAGAGTTTCTTTCAAAAGATATATTATGCTACCTGCTTAGTATTTTACAAGTGGCTTCCACCTATATTGTCAATATTAAGTACCCTGGAGAACAGCAAGAACAACACACGTTAACTAGAAACAAGAAAACCATTTGACAAATTCTCTTTAGTGGAAGCCATGCTAGGAAAGGATTACACAAACCAATTTATCTTCCAGAGCATTTGTTTTATTTTCAGTACTGCTGTTCTCCATTTTTTACT